AGACGCCTGCAGCGCTTTGGTGTTGGGGACAGAAGACAGCAGTGCCCTCTTGGGGCTCCCTGCAAACCCCACTGGACTCGACATTCAGCACCTCTGCCCCTCCCCCTGGTCTGTTGGGAGTGTCCCCAGGCCCTGAGTCTCTCAGTCAGTGGTCCCTGCGTAGCTCTGTGAGCCTCTTTCTGCCTCTCAGCTTGTAAGTGCATCTGTCCTCGGGTCCCCTGCTTGGTCCTTCCCCTGTACCTATGCCTGTCATTTCCATCTGTCCCTCCTTCTCTCCCCGTCTCTGGGTCCTACTCTTTTCTATGTGTCTTTCTCTCTCTCTCTTTTTCTCTGTATGAGTGTCTCTGTCCCCCTCTTTCTAAGTCCCTTTCTTTTTCTCTGTGTGTCTCTGCCCCTCTGTCTGTCACTCACACACACTTCCTCTCAGGCTCTCTCCTTGTCTCAGCTCTGTGTCTCTGATTGTGTGGCATCTCTTGAGTTCGTCTGTCTTCACCTCTCTCCCTCTCTCCCTCTAAGTCTGGGTGTGTCTGATCCCCGTCTGTCTTACTCTCGTGAGGTGTCCCAGAGGAGCAGGACAGCCAGATGTCCAGATGTCTCTGGGTGTGTAGAAGGTGACGAAGCACGGGGTGGGATGCTGGCCTTACTTCTGGGCCACTCCACTGCCCGGTGTGGAGGAATATCAGGTTCTGAAGAGGATGGATGTCAGTCCACCTCCCCCAGCTTTTCTGTGGAGAACTCCAGAATTTGGGGGCTTTGGCTCTAGACTTCTTCGTCAGCCACAAGGCCCAGGGTCATGGCCGGGGAGCAGGGCTGGGGGTTCCGAGCGACAAAGAAGAGAGCCCCTTGTCTGTCTGGTTGATCTGATTGACCCTGAGCTGAAGGAGGGGTGTTGGGGACTTGGAGTCTCCCTCAGAAGAGGGGCTGACTTGACACTTTTCCTCGAAGCAGCCAAGCTCAACGCACCCACCCCAGGCCCCAGCTTCCTGCTCCAAACCACCGGCGGACTCCCCGCCCTGTTCCAAACACTTCTGCCAACAGGCCTGGGGCGAGGGGCCTGCTCCGCCGCCCTGTCCTCTCCCCAGGCCCCCACCTCAGCCGGCCTCTCCTCACTGCCCTGGCCTCTCACACAGGAGCAGCTGTGTTGGCTGTTTGTTTTTTTGACTAAGGTTTCCTTGGGCAGGGAGAGGACCGAATCCACAGATAGTTCTCCCCAGTTCAGATGCCCCGGCAAGAGGCCAGACTGGGCCTGCCGTGTCCCACTCCCCTCACTGCCCTCCCCCCAGGTCCTACCTGCCTCTTCTCCATCCTCCAGCCTCAGACTTCTCTCCCCTCCTGGTCTCAGTCCGTGACTCCTCCCACGGACAGGACGGGCAGGATGGGGAGTATGAGTCACACTGCTCACCACCCCATCCCTCACTGAGGGACAATATTGGGAACTGGAACCCTCCGGTTCTTTGGGGGGAGCTGCTGCAGAAGGTGGGGAGGGCTGTGAGGCTATTCAGAGGACAGAGACACACAGGTGTGGTCTTCGGAAAGTGGCAGAAGTCTGCACACCTGCCTAACCTGTCTGGCTGAGGCTTGAGTCAGGGCTAGCGTGAGACTCGAACAGAGAAATAATGCTCTAATGGGCTTATGGCCACCGGGGATCTGTCCCAGAACCATCTCCCTGGGACCCTAAGGTCCGTTCCTGGATTGTGGAGCCGTACTAGATACAGAACTGTCTCATCCTGCCCTCTGATCACCTGAAGAGGTAACGAAATCCCCACCCAGGCAGAGTCTGGATTTTAAACCAGGTCTCCTCACTCCCCACAGCCAGGCCCCCTCACCAGCTTGGGCCAGAGCTGCCCCTTGAGCAAAAAGAACCCACTTCTCTCCGCATCTCACCCCCCCTTCACGTTCCCTCTGTCCTCACTGGCCTGCAGTAGAGGCTCCTGGTCCCCACCCGTGTGTCCCCGGTTGGAAAGGGAGTGTAGGGGCAGGTAGCATTCTTGTGACCTCGTTCTGAGATCTGCTGTCCTAGTTAGCAGCTTCCTGAGGGGAGAGGGACATGAGAAGCTTTTAGACATGGTTTCAACCATCTGGGTGCTAATTGGGAATGCGACTGTCCCTAGGCTGAGGCTGGGACAGCTATTCCGGGGCCTCAGGATGAGGTGTGGAGGTGGAGAGGCCAGAGGGGAGATCAGGAAGTTTCCCCAAATAGCCCAGCCCGCAGCCAAAAGTGGGAGCCGGGTGGTGGTGGGGGCAGCCCAGCCGGGGCGCAGCTGGCCAGTTGGCAAAGGGACCTGGGCCTTGGGAAGCTGGGCAAGGGGCAGGGAAGAAGCAGGGCTGCCATTGTCTTCTTTTCTCCCTTGCTAATGGGCTCCTCTGGAACTTGGTGTCATGAGTAAGGGGGGCAGGGGTTGGGATAGAGGTGGAAGGGTATATCTTTGTCCTGTCCCTTTTTTCTCCCAAGGGCCCTCGTGAGCTCTAGCCCATTCCCATGCCCCTCACCGTCGTGACACTGATTTATTCATCCCACGAATATTTATTGAGCACCTACTATGTGTTACACTTGCTAGGCTTGCCCTGGGAATTCAAGGGGGGAATAAGACAGGGTGAAGAAGGAGTGCAAGGAGGCAGGAAGGAAATCTACCTTAAGGAGGGCAGTGAGGGAAGGCAGCTCATGGAGGTGGCATTTCGGCATCAGCCATGAGAAGGCAAGGTAGGGGCTGGGAGGAAAAGAGTGCTCCAGGCAGAAAGAATAGGGTTTGAGAACGCTCCAAGGTTAGGGGGACCTCGCTGTACTTCAGGGAGAGAAAGAGCCCAGTGTGGCTGGAGTATCCTGAGCAGGGGAGGGAGGGGTACAAAAACATCAGAGGGGCACAGGATCTTTTGACTTGGACATTTGGACCCCCAGGATGTTTTGAAGGCAAACATTTTAAACCAAAACATACCAGCACTGAAGACTTTTTTAGAAAGTGGTTTCCAGTTTGAATTCTTTTCATCCAACTTAATTTCTTGATCAGATTTTTCCATTTTTCCTATATGGTACAGCTAAACACATTTCCATTTTTTTAAATTCCATTTTAATTTTACTGGAATTATTTTCATCGGCATCAATGCTGTAAAATGTTGCTGTCGAGATCTGATCCATCAATCAATTCGGCATCCATTGAAGGCGCCTGATCTTAGTCTCAGCCATTGTGTGACTGACTCAGCAAACACATCTGATTTCGGAAGATTTAAATTTTAAAAAACATTTGTGGTCAAGACTGGATTCTTCTGTCCATTTTCATCAATGAGGAGTTTTTCTGTATCTGGTTCTAGCCATCATCAGTGTTAGATCTACTGGTAACATCCTCAGCTGGAGAGTTGTATTTCTATCTCAGTAAATCTGTGGGAGGAATCCAGTGGAAGGGCAGGTTGGAAGAGGAGAGGGTTTGCGGGAGGTGGGCAGAGGCCAGATCTTGCAGGCTGGGGATAAGGATTCTCCTAAGCTGAAGGTGAGGGAGAAGGCTTTGGAGGTTTAGGGCAGGAGAGGGACATGATCAGATTTCTGTTTTTAAAAGGCTCCTTCTGGTGCGTGGAGAACAAACCGGAAAGGTGAGAGATGGAGAAGAGGAGGCAGGGAGGCCGGTGAGGAGGCTGTTATGTCAGTCCATGTGGTAAAGGAAGCCAAAAGATTGAAGAAAGATTAGGGAGACAGAAAGGGTAACCAGAGTAACCTCCGTGTCATTCCCCACCCCCTCAGCCCCTGCCTGTCTCTTCCTCTGGGGCCCCAGACATCTTAGACTCTGACCACCCGGAATTTGCACAGGGTAGAGACCAAGAATGGGGTGTTTTCCGTGGGACTGCCTCCCAGTCTGTCTCCTGGCTGAGTGCAGCTGAGGGAGTGTCAGGGATACACTGCTGAGGTTGGGGAGGAAGGGCTAGCTGGGGTGGGGGACGGCCTTCAGATCCGCCCAGCCAGAGCACGTGGCCGGAGAGGCCAGGGCGACCGCAGGCCTGGCGGTGAAACAGACCCAGACACAGGGCGCTTGTCTGGCCGTGGCTCTGAGCTCAGGGTGTGACCCTGGGCAGGGGTACAAAGGGGCCTCTGTCAGTGCAGGGCACGGAGCCCATCTGGGCCAGGCCAGGCGCCGGAGGAGTGAGGGAGGTGGGCCTGGGGGTGCCAGGAGAAAGAAGGCTTGAAGTGCTGTACACTCGAGGTTTGGGTGTCATCTCAGGCAGTCCCTTCCTCTCCTTGATCCTCAGTCTCCTCACCTGTAAAATGGAACCTTCATCCCTGCCTCCCAGACCTGGTGCATTGTCAGGACCCACTTCGTTGATGGACTAAAGCATCACCTTCATAGAATCGTGTATTTTTAAACATTCACACATAGTGATTACCATGTGCCTGTTTGCCGAACCCTTAGTGACTATTGGCTCATTTAATCCCCATAGTGACCCTCTAAGAGAGGTAATATTGATTCTTATTTTATAGATGGGGAAACCGAGGCACAGAGGTGGCCAAGGTCACACAGTTAGAAAGTGGCAGAGGTAGGATTGAACCCAGGCATTATGGCTGTACTATGTTGCTTCCCAAAAGAAAGGGGTGGCCATCATGCCAGGCCCCTGAAGTGGGGGGACCCTGATTCTTCAGCAGGGATAGGGGTGTCTTCTGGCACACCCATGCCTTAGAGAACACAAGTGTGCAATGTCCCCTATCCCAGGGCCTGGCCTGCAGGGCAGGGCTAAGGGTACGATAGGAGAGAGGGAAGTCAGACTCCACAAGACGAGTCCGGAGGAGGAAACCTGGGAGGAGGGATGGAACAAGGATCTCTCGGAGCGGGTCACAACCCTGCCACCTTTGGCAGGTGTGGGGACAGCTGTGCCCAGCAGAGGCTGGGTAGATTTGGTATTCCCTCAACTAGGACGAGGCAAACCCTATGGGATGCCAGGTGGTTGGGTGGCGGGGGCGGTGAGCGGAGGAGAAGGAGGAGGAGAAAGAGGAAGAGGAGGAAGACCACGACGACGAGAAGGGGACCCGAGAGAGGGGTGTGGTGTAAAGGAATTCATTAGCCATGGATGTATCCATGAAAGGACTTTCAAAGGCCCAGGAGGGAGTCGTGGCTGCTGCTGAAAAAACCAAACAGGGTGTGGCAGAGGCAGCAGGAAAGACAAAAGAAGGTGTTCTCTGTGTAGGCTCCAAAACCAAGGACGGAGTGGTTCATGGTGTGACAACAGTGGCTGAGAAGACCAAAGAGCAAGTGACAAATGTTGGTGACGCGGTGGTCACGGGGGTGACAGCAGTAGCGCAGAAGGCCATGGAGGGAGCAGGGAGCATCGCAGCTGCCACTGGCTTTGGCAAAAAGGATCAGCTGGGCAAGGGTGAAGGAGGAGGCCCACAGGAAGGAATTCTGGAAGATATGCCCGTTGATCCTGACAATGAGGCATATGAAATGCCTTCTGAGGAAGGGTATCAAGACTCTGAACCCGAAGCCTAAGAAATACTTTTGCTCCCAGTTTCTTTTTTAAGATTTTATTTATTTATTTGACAGAGAGAGAGAGCGAGCGAGAGCAGTAACACAAGCAGGGGGAATGGGAGATGGAGAAGCAGGCCTCTTGCCGAGCAGGGAGCCTGATGCGGGACTTGATCCCAGGACCCTGGGATCATGACCCGAGCTGAAGGCAGACACTTAACGACTGAGCCACCCAGGCGCCCCTCTTTTTTTTTTTTTAATATTTTATTTATTTATTTTGACAGAGAGAGAGAGACAGCAAGAGAGGGAACACAAGCAGGGGGAGCGGGAGAGGGAGAAGCAGGCTTCCCCTCGAGGAGGGAGCCCGATGTGGGACTCGATCCCAGGACCCTGGGATCACGACCTGAGCCGAAGGCAGACGCTTAACGACTGAGCCACCCAGGCGCCCTTGCTCCCAGTTTCTTGAGACCTGCTGAAAGATGTTCCATCCTGTACAAGTACTCAGTTCCAACATGCGCAGGCATGATATTTTCTCAACGTCTTTACAGTGTATTTTAAACTCTTCCATCAGCAGTGATGGAAGTTCTCTGTACCTGCCCCTACTCAGCATTTCAGTGCTTCCCTCTCACTGAAGTGACTATGGGAGCAGGGTCCTTGGGTATTCTATGATACTGTAGCTTCAAATCTAAAATGTTACATCAAAACGGTGCCATGTGGTTGGAGAGCCTAGGGTCTGGTCGGGCAGGACGCGTGGACAGGGTGGCCCAGGGGCTCTGGCCAAGGAGCCAAGGGGAGCGAGGAAACAGATCCTAAGCCCCCAGTAGTGGGGCCCTTCAGGCTCCGTGATCAGCCTAGGAGCATGCCCTCGACCTCACTGGGAGGAAGGCGGCGCTTCCCAGGCTGAGGACAGAGATGCGTCAGCGTGTCCCGAAGCGGCAGATGGTCCCGTGAGGGCGTGGCTGCGGTCAGTAGTGGGGGGCTCTCAGCGCCAAGCTCAGAGCTCAGACTTCGTCTCCTGAACATCTCTCTAGACATCTCTAGAGGGTTGCCGCCCAGCCCAGGATGCCAGACAAATTACATGGACAGGCACTTGGGAAAACTGCAGGGCAAGGGGTTCTCACCTTTGGCTGCACATCAGGATCACCTGGACCGAATTTAAAATCTCGTTGTCCAGGCGGCACCCCAGCCCCGTCCCGTCAGAACCCCTGGGGAGGGGCCCAGCGGTCAGAAGCTTTCAGAGCTGCCCCTGGGAGTCCAGTGAGCCGCCACGGTCGAGGACCCCGAGGCAGGCCTGTCCCTCACATCAGCCAGGTCTGGGCTGAATTGTCCCCTCTGAGAGAGGCTTTTCCTGGCCACTCATCCTCCCTGACCTCGTGTGGTTATCTACTTAGGGACCATGACCATCGCCCCTAGATTGCAAGCTCCATAATGGCCCCTCAGGACTTTTGTTCAGTGCTGGATCCCCTGGGTGAAGAATGGAGGGCCTGGCTTGTGGCTGATGTCCAACAGATATTTACTCCGTGAGTTTCCTAATTCCCTACTCTGTGGTCGGCACAAAGGGAGGCATCTCCCTACATCGTCCCTTAATCTCCCCAATAACCACATGACGCAGATACCATTGGGCCCATTTTACAGATCAGAGAGGTGAAGCCACTTGCCCAAGGTCTGACGACTCCAGTGCCTGGTGTCTGTCCTGGGGCCCCACACTGCCTCCCAGCTCAGGCCATTGAGCAGCCCTGGGGCCGGACGGAGGGCCTGAGGGGCCTGGGACATGTTGACGCAGCCCATCCCAGGGGCGTTCTTGGAACTTCTCGGCTGGTTTTGAAAGGCCTCCTTCATGGCCAGCGAGGGCCTTGTGCTTCCGCCCACATGCCAATTAGAGAGGAGGACTCCTTGATGTGGTCGGCACTTCTCCGTGGCCAGCAAGGTAGACCAGGGCCACCCCACCATCTCCCTCCCTCCTGCTCGGGGTGACGCTGAGATCTCAGGGTCATTTTCAGCCTCTCCCTGCCTCCATCCTTCTGGATCCAGCTTCTAATACTGAGGAAGGGGAAGGGCCCCAGGGTCCAGTGGGGTGGGCCAGGGTGAGAGGATTCTGTTGAACAGACTAACTAAATAAGAGCATCAGGAAATGAAGGGTGGGTCAAGAAAATGCAAAGATCTTAATTTCTTCAGGGTTGATCCTGGCTGGTAGTCAGGGCCTTTGCCGGCCTGCTCTGAATGCAGCTCTTTAAGTAAGAGGGAAGGTAGCCAAGGTCCTGGTGAGGACCCCCGGGCCCTCAGCCTTTCCCTTCCCTCCCATGGGGCAGTATGGGGAAGTCCCCCCAGTAGGCTGACTGCCTTCTTGATTGCTGCTATTGAAGCTAATATTCTGGGGAGGGGGCCACCCTGCTGTAGGCACCCCAGTTCCCAGATTCCTCCCCTCCAGCTCCGGCCTCTCCTATAGAACCCAGGCAGCTTTGCCAAGCCAGGTGAGGAGGTTGAAATAATTTCCGTTGCGTTGGCAATAAACACAAGCTGGATACAGCTTTGGACTGGGAAAGAGTGGGGACAGGCTGTCAGCCTTGCGAGGCAATGGCCAGGAAGGCAGGGGTTTGGTTTGGACATGGGGATGGCACCCTGGGCGGGAGGGGGGATCGTGGGTGACATTATAGGGGTCCCACCCAGACCCGTGTGCCTGGCTTCTCTTCTTGCCCCATTGGTTTCTAATGCACAGCTGTGAGGAAGTTCTTTCTGCAGTCTGATCACAGTCCCTCCTGCTGTAACAATGTCATCCTTCACGGGACCATGGCTCTTCGCAGCTTGCAGGGGTTGGTCTGTATGTTGTCTTAGTTAATCTCCTCAGCTGTCAGCCCTGGGTTAGGGAGTTATTATCAGTTATTGTCATTGTTATCCCCATTTCACAGACAAGGAGACTGGGGTGTGGAGCAAAGGGGCGTGTTCCCAGGCTCGGGATAGTAAGTGGCAGAGTTGTAATCAGTGCATGTCTGCCGGGTCCCAAGTTACTTGGGTTCCCCTGAGGCCCTCCAAACAATGCTCCCATCCCCCAGACAACGCTCACCCCCTCCCCCAACTCCTCCCCCTGCCATCTCACCGCAACTCAGAAGCAGCCCAGACCTGGAGAAGTCATTCTGTCCATCCCCCTGCCTCTAGCCCAGTGCAGTGGAGCCTCCACGTGGCCAGTATCTGGAGCTCATCTGGCCACGGTCCAAGAGAGGGTGATGGTGGCAGTCGGGGGAATCAAGGGTGTCAGCTGTCACTGCTACTTTTTGAGCAAAGACTTTTAGAGTTTAATGTGATAATCTCATTCTGATTACTGCAAACTGAGGACCTCTTGCTCGTCCAGGAATCCATCACCGGCCTCACACGAGGAGCAGGGAGGCTCCGCTGGGCCCTCCTGCCTCCCCACCCCCCATCCTCCTGCATGCTGAGGTGGACTGAGCCTTTTGGTTTGGTTTTAGAGGAAAGAAGATGGTTCTAGATCATGGGAGGGATGATTTGGGCCTCCCTACCTCGAGACCTGGACAAGTGGACCCCGATCCTTCCCTTTTACATCTGAGAAGTTAGTGTTCTAGGAAGGTTGGGAAGAGCTGCTGGTGAGTCTGGGTGGGAGGCCGGTCAGAGGGCACAGAAAATCAGCCCAGCCAGGGACACAGGATGTCATCACAGCACCCCCCACCCCATTTTGCTGGCTGGGAAACCAAGGCCTGTTGCTGTTGCCTCCACATCATGCCTGCCCAGAAGTGAACCAATTAACACCGTGTCTGGTTCTGTGCTCCCAGCGCCTGTCTCATTATTTGGGGATTTATGTCTCGGTCACCGTGAAGGACGACTGTCCCGGTTTCCACTGGGGGGAGCCTGGCCAGCCCTGGAGCTCAGCAGGGCAGGGGGTGGTGCCATCCTGCTTGGGGCAGGATGGGGATTTAATTTCAGGGGGATTTGCAACCAGTGGGGAGCCGCCCTGGGCACATGGTGGCTCTGGGCTATTTTGGGAGGCAAAAGGCTGGCCCCGTTGGGGGAGGGATCATGGCAGACTTGTTCAAGTCTTTAGTGAGTTTGCCCTTTCAGCAACGGAACAGAAAGGAGCTGTGATGGACGGGACAGGCCCACCTGAGGTTGGGACTTCTCTCACCCTCCTGGAACCCAGGGGCCCGGAACCACTCTGCGTACCCCCGCCCCAGTGGGGCCATGAGCAGACTAGAAGCAGCCGGCTGGGCAGGGGTCTACAGCTCCTTACCTGAGCCTCTTCGCTGTAGGCTTTGCTTCAGCCGGGGCTCTTGGTATTATTACTATGAATGATTAGTATAACCATCTCATAATTTTGTGGTAGAAATTATATTTACTGAGCACTCAGGGAAGGCCCCATGGGGCTGGGGAGAGGGCTCAGCCTGAAGGCAGACACAACCAGGCTCCTGTCCTGTACAGGCCGATTCCAAGCTGGTACCATGGGCTACATAAGTCCCGTCCCCCTTTTAAGCCCCAGTGCCCGGTCTCTCAAGCGGGGACCCGAACACCTCATTAAGGATGCCCATATTATTCATTGGATGCATATGATGTCGGGCACTCTGCAGGGATGATCTCACATTACCCTGGGCTTCGTTGTTACGTATTCATGCCCCGTTCTAAAGATAATGAAACTGAAGCTCAGAGAGGGAAAGTCACTTGCCTCAGCCCACACAGCCAGAGTAAGGAACCCAACCCATTTCTGGCTCTCACAATGAGTCAGTTCGTTCCTCAAATCCAGCAACATGGGTTGGTTCTCTTTGGAGTGCCAGGCACTGTTCTAGGGCTGGGGATTCCTCACAGACAAGGCCGAGGAAGAGGAAATAATGGGATGAGACTGGGCTGCCATGAGAACTGAGTGGCCCAACTAGAGACTAGGTGGCTTTATTTGGACTAAGGGTCATTTTCTGGCGGGGGGGGGGCGGGGGGAGGCAATAACCTGGGGCCTGAAGCCCTCCTCCGACAGTGGTAGGTAGGTGAGGGAGCAGAGCACCACCGCCCCGCCCCTCCAGCTCCCATTA